ACTACCATTCATGGTTGTAATTACATTCAAGGTAATAGAGTGAATTAACAGAAACTCAAAGTGGTTGGTAATTTGTCAAGATAAATTGCTGGAAGTGGAGAGACTCAGAATTCAACTAAATATTATTTCCAAATAGAGACTTGAACCACACAGCCAGCCATGTGGGATTCAGCCACCTTAACCACCATGTCAGGGACTAGCCCAATCTTTCTTCTTTTTAATGTACACAATTACTGGTATAACTTCCCTCTTACCACTGCTTTTGCTGCATGCTTCATTTTGGGTGTGTTGTATTTCTACTTTTGTTTGCTTTGAGGTATTTTTACATTTCCCTTCTAATTTCTTTACTGTCCCATTGGTTGTTCAAGACCATGTTTCATTTCCGTGTACCAGTGAATTTTCCAAAATTTCTCCTGTTATTAATTCCTAGTTTCATACGATATCATCAGAAAAGATACTTTTAATATAATTTCAAGTTTCTCTTTAGCAAATGATCAGACTTTATGTGTGGGCTGCTAACCAGCACTAACCACAAAACTCAAAGGCTCCTTCATGTTGTCATTTTACATTACAAATGCTTACTAGGACCCCCAGTGTTCAGCCTGCATGTTCTGAACCCCGCCTATCTTACAGTCCCTTATGTCTTACCTCATTTCATCCCTTGTGCTTCAGACACACTCTCACTAGGCCACTTCCTCCACTGGCACAGCCTCACTCTGTCTTATTCAATTCTGTTCCTCTTTTAGATCTCAGCTTAAGGTTTTCCTCGAGCACCCAGATGCAAGATGCAGCTCCCCTTTTGTTTATCTTTCTGGCAGCCTCGATTTCTCTATAGCACATTTCACCTGTGTATTAAAGTAATTGCATAATTGGCTGTTGAATAGTTCTCTTCTGCCTTCAAAGAAAGCCTTCCGTGTTTGAAGGAGAATGCATACATCTACCAGCCCCTACTTTCCATTAGTTAAGGGTGGCAGCAGTATAAAGAAAGCAAGTTAGAAACACAACACACGGTGCAGCCCAAAGCCAGGCACGGAGGCGTTGCACCCACACAGGACCTATTGAAACCTGCACAGAAAGGGTCATTGTAGCAGAGGCTGGAAAAGAAGTAGGGCCAGTAGGATCTGAAGTATCACACAAGGCATCTCGTTATAGACCACCACAAAATGATCATGTGTTCAACCTCCACAAGCAATTAATCTTGTGTAAATTCATTTTAAGTGAAAGAGATAGTCATAGAGATAGAGACAGAGAGAGACAGAAAGACAGGCATTTTAACTTTTACTGTTTCAATCCTCTGCCCCAGTCTCCCGTTAGCAATGATTACAAGTATGTGCTACCATGCCTGGCCCTGTTGGCCCAGGGTCCAAGCCTGGACCCCTGATATGGCCCTAGCATTGCACAGCAGCATCCTTGCACAACTATGGCTGGACTTTACAAAGTGCTTTTAAAAAAGATTTTCATATTTTAGTATTTCTATAAGATTTATTATACATGGAAAAAGAAATGAAGCAGTTTTCTAAACTCAAGTGGCAAAATAATTGTGGTTACAAGTAAATGCTGACTCTAACATTTTTAAGTGATGCTTACAAATATAATCTTGAAACATCATTTTTCAAGATGACATATGAAATGATAATGATTGTTTAGGCATGTTAATCTCAGAATCTAGACAGGATGGCTATCCTGAAATAATAACCAAAGAGAAAACCAAGTACGTTTCTTGATTACAGAAGCAGTAACTTTAAGCTAAAGCAAAAATGGCATTGGGAAATAACAGGTAGCATGTTTTAGCAGGTAAAGCTTTTAAATGTTGCTAGAGACAGATATTGCCAAGGATGACCATTTAAAAAACTTTAGTGGATAATGTAAGGGAGGGAAAATACTTTTTCTTCTACCTATCTGAGTTTCATTGGCTGGGTCACTATAACAAAGACAGATTAATAAGAGAAAAACATACTGAAGTTTACTAACTTGTATATCATAGATAAGATAGATAGGTACCCAGGGAGTGAATAATCCTCAGAGAGGTGTCTTTCTTTTAAGCAAATGCAGGGAAGGCAAAGAGCTTTTCTTGTATCTGTTGCTTCTTAATTGCTTTCTGCTCAAAATAATCCTTATGTCAGAAAAGGAATATTTAGGGGTGCCATAATCTGGTTTCCTGCAATGACATGAAAAGTTGCTTTCTTCTATTGAAAATAATTCAAATGTCTTGAATATGTCATTGTAAGTGAATAGGGCATGATATGTACTTGCAAGAAAAATACTTGACTTGTTTTCCCATGACCACAAACCTTTTTATTGATAGTTTTCAGAAGAAAAGAAAGAGACCAAGTTAGATATAAGAGGGACTTTGTGATAATTTGTACACGCTGAAATAAGAAAGTTAATTTAGTGCAGTAAATTACTTTACAAAGTAATTTGTGCCACAAAGAGAACCAATTACATTTCAAATACATTTTAATGTTATCAAAATAATCCAGGCACATCCTGAAAAAAGCAAATAGTATTGTAAGGGAATTAAAACTTTCCCTTTACTCTCTGTTCGATCGTTGGAGTCACTAGAATAAACTGACGGTAGCTAGATTAACAGGAGAAAAGTTATACAAATGTGTTATGTACATATGCACCGCAGCCTCACAAAACTTAAGACTCAAATAAAGACCAGATGGTTGAAACTTAAACAGCATTTCGATGTAGAAAGGAACAGGAGCTTGGGGCTTCTGTGGGGTTTGCGGAGTAGGTGGCAACACAAACTATGGACTAGTGGGTGGAGAAAATACATGATAAACAAGGGTTCCTTAGAAGTCTCTCAGTTAGTAGTCCTCAGAAAAATAGGTGGTATTTCAACTTCAGCCTCTTTTTCTGTGAGTTAATTTTTCCCTGTTTGATTAAGCTATGAGGGGTGGTGCTCATGACATTGCATTTGTTCTGGAGGAACTTGCCTTAGTGATTTACAGACTTCAGAGAAAGCTGAGAGTCCGAACAGGAAAATGCCAGACAGACCTTGGTTCTTCTAGACCTTGGTTCTTCTAGTGCAAAGCACTCATATTTCTGAGCTTTTTCCTGGTGAGAGCACTGACTCTCTCCCCTTATGCCTAAGATTACTATAAAAAATAATGGAAGTGGTGGGCCAGCTCAATGCCACAGCAGTAATGTGCTGCTCAAGAGAAACTGCATCCCAGATGGTGACTGAGGCTTGAACCCCTGGCCTAGTCAGCCGGAAGCAAGATGGGCACCTTCACAATTGTCTGAGATTCAACGGGCTGAAAGACCGGAGGGAAGACTTTGAAGCCTTACTAGATTCTGTGGAGGGTACTTCTCTCTCTCTCTTTCTCTCTCACTGACACGCACACATTTACACGTTCACACAAGTGCTCTGTCATGAATAAAGAAAAATAAAATAAAATAAAATAAAATAAAATAAAATAAAATAAAGGAAGTTTCGGTTGAAAGTCATTGAGAGGAGGTTGGTGGCTTCGTGAGAAATACAAGCTAAACCAGCTAGTGTACCAAGAGGGAACCAAGGAAAGAGGTAAGTAAGAAGAGCCTTCCTGAGCCAGAACAAACCTCAGACACTGCCCTCAGAAAACAGTACTGCAAAGGAACTAGAATTTAATTGGATCAGACTACCAGAGCAATTTATGCCCCAGGGTATTGTCAAAACCAATAGAACAATCAGACAACAAGGGAACAGTTTAATAACGAGATAGGCGTGGTATGTCCTACAAAACCCAGTAATGTTGAAGAAGATGAATATGAATATGTGTATGTCCTTGATTTGATTCTTACATGCTCGTGCCTTAAACTCACACTATAGCCCACAGTCACATACATTGGTCGTATGTAAACCAGAAATTATAGTTTTAAAATTTTTTAAAAAAAACCCAAAAGAGATAAAAATGCTTTTTGAAAAGCAAATAGCAGGTTCATAATTGAATTTTTGGAAAACAACTGTTTGTAAGTTAAAGTTACCTTTTAACACCATCAACTTGGTTATCTATGCTTGTACTTGACATTCTGCACCCGCCGGTGGTGTGAAGGTTAAGGCATCTGGATCCCTCATGGCAAACTGCGGTTCGAGTCCTGGAAAATGTTTAAAAAAAAAAAGAAATTGTGTTTCCTTTTACATAATAATACCGCTGTTCTCAAGTCTTTCTTTTCTAGATTCTTATACTCCTACCCACTATTCAGCATGATACCTTTTAGGCAGTCAATACTCAAAGAAAATGTGTATTGATTTTTAATAGAAGTATCACTTGGGACCAGCAGTTAGTGTAATGGCTATGTCGCTGGACTCCCATGTAGTCAACTGCGGTTTCAGTCCTGGACCTGGTGGCTTAAACTCACGCCAGGAGTGTGTGCGTGCCTGTCCAAGATCCTGAGAGGAGAATGGAGAAGGGATTGGGGCATGGCCATCCCCCCTGGGGGGTAATTTCTCGCTTTCTGTCTCTCTGTCTCTCTCTGTCTGTCTGGCGACCGCACATGCCCTATAGCAAAAACTCTCGAAAAAATAAAATAAAATAAAATAATAAATAGAAGTATCACTCATCACAAATGGTATACCCTGAGATACCTACCATTTTTATTTCAACCTGGCTTTAATTTTGAATTAAATTACAAAGTTATAGATGATCTTTGGAATATGAATTAAATATTTCCTTTAATACGGTTATATAATATTAACTAAAATAGCTAAATAACATAACAATAGATTTGGATGCTTATCTTTTTTTTTTTTAAATTGGATTGTAAATTAGGGAGCAAATGATTGTGATAAGGACTTCTTATTCCAGGAAACACCATAGCATGTTCTAATATCCTCATAATATATTTATCTTTAGTTTTGGAAATAGTTTGTCTGAGTAGTTTGGTATGACATACCTTCTTGTGTGTCAAATGGAGCAATGCTATGAGTGGGGAAGGACTCATTATACATTTGTTGTAGGTACTGTGACATAAAACTACTTAACCTCACAAAAGACATGACTCTACCTTTTCAGGTGTAACTGTGTGGAGCCACATAATCCTAGCAATGATACACTGAAGGAATGGAGGGAGTCCAATATCTCTGCCTCTGATGTAATTTGGGAGAACCTGACAGTGTCTGTAAGTAAAATTAAAAAAAAAAAGGCATATCTTGAATCTTTTTTAATTGTGAGAACTTTTGTTGATATTTTAAATAAATTGACATTAAGGTAAGTTTTTTGAATGCCTAATCTTATAAAAGTGATAGTTTTGGGAACCAACAGTTGGTGAAATGGCTATGTTGCTGGACTTCCGTGTAGTCAACTGTGGTTCGAGTCCCGGACCCAGTGGCTTAAACTCACGCCGGGCACATGTGTGTGCGTGCCTAAGATCCCAAGAGGAGAATGGAGGAAAGATTGCAGCATAGCCATCCCCTCGGGGGTGATTTCTCGCTTTCTGTCTCCCTGTCTCTCTCTGTCTTTCTGGTGAGCGCACGCGCCCTATAACAAAAATCTCTCTCTCAAAAAAAAGTGATAGATGTGTTTTAATTTTAATTTCATTAATTTCAGATATTTATTGGTAAGCTAAAGTTTTCTTTCATCATTCAAGTTTTTTTCATAGTTTGTAGGTCTGAACTATTCTAAAAGCACATATAAGCAGAATGATACAACCGAGATGAACTGAAAACGCATTAAGTATGAGTTGTGCTGACCTAAATGAAACCATAAGGCAGAACTAAGGCCGCCTTCTGGGTAAAGCACCTAGAATGCTTTTACTTTGTAATACTGTTGCAGCTGTTCAGAATATGCTGAGGGAGAGGGAGGTTTTTAATCTTTTAGTGTAAGTACTAAAATCATTGAGAAGAATGAAAGTCATTTTTCTTAACAAAATTCTGGTGTCTCCCTCAGCAAGAGCTCAAGAGCTCTCTTGCTTCCCTGTTATTCTTATCCCCAGCTCAAGAAAAGAGATGGCAGCATATTTTCCACCTGTAACAACTAAATCCTGTACCCTTGTTTGTTTATTTATTTATTTATTTAATGAGGCTTTTTCTGCTTTATAATTTCTTTTGCTCATGGCTGCATGTCTCAGTCCTCCTTAATTTCTTCCTTTTTTAAAAATTTTTACTTATTTATTTATTTATTTATTTATTTTTTGAGAGGTTTTTGCTATAGTGTGCTTGCACTCGCCAAAAAGACAGAGAGAGACAGAGAGACAAAAAGGAAGAAATCACCCCCCAGGGAAGATGGCCATGCCGTAATCCCTTCTCCTCCATTCTCCTCTCGGGATGTTGGGCACACATGCGCACGCGCCCTGTGTGAGTTTAAGCCACTGGTCCCAGGACTCGAACCATGGTCGACTATATGGGAGTACAATGACATAGCCATTTTGCTAACTGCTGGGCCCAGTCCTTCTTTAACAAGATCTTTGCAGACCTCTTTTATCTATATTTGCATCTTTTACTTTTGTTCAACAAAATCTCATAATCTGAAAAAAAACTTAGGACTAGTTGGTGGCATGGTGGTTAAAGCAAATGGATCCCACATAGCCGACAGTGTGGTTCGAGACCCAGATATAATGGCTTGAAAAACATACTCACATGTGTGAGCATGCCCTAAATCCAAAAGGGAGTGATCAATGGATGAGGAGGGATTACAACATGACCATTTCCCAAGGGGAGGTGCAGAACTTTCTCATTTTCACTCTCTCTCTTCAGCAAGTATATGCATCCACTGGCAAGCTAAATAAATAAATAAAACAAAAGTGTTCTGCTTTTAATAAATATTAAAATCTTAGTTGCACAGGACCAGCAGATAGTGTAATGGTCACATCACTGGACTCCCCTATGGCCAACCATGGTTCGAATCCCAGACCTGGCAGCTTGAAACTCACATCGGGTACATGTGTGTGCAAGTCCAAAAGTCCCTAGAAGAGAAAGGAGGAGAAGGGATTGCAGTGTGGCTATTTCCCTTCAGGGAGGGGGCGATTTCTCTCTTTCTGTTTTTCTGTTTCTCTGCTGAGTGCATCCACCTTATAGCAAAAATGTCTCTCAAATTTTTTTAAAAAAACTTAGTTGCTCTAGTTTCTACTTTATTCTTCCAGGTTACAAACATTACAATCTAAAGCTTCTATCATTTTACCTACCTATCTAATCTCAAATTTCATTATAGCCATCAGCACAAAACTATATAAATTCTAGTTCATTTGCTCAAACTCATACTATTTTGACAAATGGGCCAGTTAATGGGACATAGAAATCTTTTTTGGTTGTATAGATAATATAAACTCCAATCATCCTTGTAAAAACATGTGACCTCTTCAGACCAGCAGATGGCATGATGGTTGCATTGCTGGACTCCCACGTAGTTGACCATGGTTCAAGTCCTAGACTCGGTGGCTTCAAACACACACCAGGTGTGTGTGCATGTGTGCCCAAGATCCCGAGAGGAGAATGGAGGAGAAGGGATTGCAGTGTGGCCATCTCCCCTGGATGGTGATTTATTTTCTAACTCTTTGACTCTCTGGTAAGCACATGCAACCTATAGCAAAAGTCTCTCTCTTGAAAAAAAAAGAAAGAAAGGAAGAAAGAAAAAGAAAAGTGATCTCTTGGATATTTTCTGAAATTTCCCTATTAAATGTGTCCTTTTAGAATAAAAATCAAATTATTTACTGTTTAATTTCTTTTTTTTTCTTTTATTCTTTACTTGCTATAGGGTGTGTGCATTCACCAGAGGGAAGCACAAAAGAGAGAGAAAAAAAAGTGAGAGAGCACCCCTCCAACACACCCCTGAGAGGATGGCCACATCACAATCCCTTCTCTGTTCTCCTCTTGGGATTTTGGGCACACATGCTCATGTGCCTGGAACGCTTCTCAAGGCGTTGGTCCAGGACTCCGTGGCACAGTTAGCTGTGTGGGATCCAGCCGCCTATCCACCAGACCCGATTAGTCCCTTGTTTACAACTTTATGGTGACGATACTTTACTACCTTTATCCTTACCTCAGTCATTTTCTCTAGAAGAAGACTTCACATGCTAGTGTTTTCGTTTGTTATTGTTAGCAGTTATTCTGTACCACCTCATTTTTACCCTGGAAAAATAACATTGCCATTCTGCTTCTATTCAGAGAGTGTTTTAAGTTCACCAGTGAAAGAATTGATGAGCTGAAGAAGAAAGAATGCTATAGTTACACAGGATCTGGACGCCAGATCATGGTGGATCCATTTAGCAATGGGTCTTCTGTCTATATTCCCCTTTTTGTAAATTATAATATATTGTGTTAAAGATCCCCTTGATTAGGTCCTTGATGTCATCATTAATAGGAAAACTCAAATAATTTCATCTCTGAATTACTTAATGTGATAATTTATGTTCTTTATATTTTTTGACTAATTTAATGCTAAATAATAATATTTATTCTATGTATTAGCAAATCCTGAATAATAATTTTCTAAGAAGCAAACTTACAGCACGATTGATCTGGCTAACCATGAGTTAATTTTTCTTTTTTTTTTTTTTATTTGAGAGCTTTTTGCTATAGGGCATGCATGCTCGCCAGAGAGACAGAGAGAGACAGAAAGCAAAAAATTATCCCCCCAGGGGAGATGGCCATGCTGCAATCCCTTCTCTTCCATTCTCCTCTCAGAATCTTGGGTACGCACGCACACGTGCCTGCCATGAGTTTTAAGTCACTCGGTCTGGGACTCAAACCACAGTTGGACTACATGCGAGTCCAGCAACACAACCATTATGTCAACTACTGGTCCCACCATGAGTTAATTTTAGATAATAGAAGTTATAGGGTCAAGCAGAGTACAGTGAAAAACAGTGTGAAATCAAAGCAAATATAGAATGATTTTATTTTAAAAAACTTAAAAGTTCTGTACTAGGTATTAACATTCTGGCAGAAATTTTCATATTATTTTTATTAGTTCAAAGCAGTTTTTGCAATGGGTAATTGCTAGCCTTGACCATAAACAACCTTTTGCATCAAAGGGAATGCTACATAATAAAAAAAATCTTGTAATTTTTAAGTCAATGAAGGCGAGTATTATTTTTATCTTAATTGTTTTGCACTGGTAGTCATCACTATCATCTGAAGAATTTTATTAATATAGCATTGTGCTAATGGCTATTGTTACTGCTTTTATAAAAACAGCGATACAATATTTAATCTACATATTAATCATCCAGCAGGCACTGTATTGTTTCATTGAGTTGTTATGTAGCTCATGAATTATAATGTATACTTTGTCAACTCAGCAAAGGCAATTACCTTTAGCCATCTTTGATTATCCCAAAGTGCTGTGTACATAGTAAGAATTCAATTTTTAAAATTTATTTCCTTTGTGAGTGAGAGAGGGACAGTAAGAGGGAAAGCACCTTGAATAGGGTCTTTTTTTTTTTTTTTTGGAGAGGTTTTTGCTATAGGGTGTGTGTGCTCGCCAGACAGAGAGAGACAGAGAAACAGAAAGTGAGAAATTGCCCCTCGGGGGGATGGCCACGCTGCAATCCCTTCTCCTCCATTCTCCTCTCGGGATCTTGAGCACACACGCACATGCGCCCAGAGTGAGTTTAAGCCAGCGGATACGGGACTCGAACTGCGGTCAACTACGTGGGAGTCCAGTGACATAGCCATTACGCTAATTGCTGGTCCCCTGAATAGGGTCTTGATACACAGTCTACTCCTAGCTCCATCCAACCCTGAGTCCGGGGTACACGTGTGCCTGGCGTACTCAGGGAGGTCTCTGGATGTAAACCTGGGACCTCACTGTGTGGGTCAGCCCCACTAAGCATTTTGTTTTACTGCTGTACCACTATCCAGGACCTAAGTGTTAGTTATGCGATAAATACTTAATGGTTGTTTTGAAAAAATATTGGAGTTTCATCTCATATGTTTACTATTTAGTACAAATATTTTATGGCAAGCTAAAGTACTAGGTTTCTATTTTTATATATTTCTTAACAGTAACTCAAAATCAGCCATTAAAAGAAATCCCTAAGCAAGGTTTAAAATATTCGCTAGCAATCAAGTAGTAATTGGTTAAGAATTGTTTCAGTGCCTAACTTACATATTTAGCTTGTACATATAACAGGGACAGGACACTAATGCCAACTTTAATTTCTTATTTTATAAAATTTTTGCCAACTTATAAAATTGTTGAAACTTAGAATGTGTTTGAAGAGTAATTAGTAGGAATCAGTTTGTCAACCAGCATTTTTTTGAGTACCTATTGTAAGGGAAACCATATGTTAGAATTGAAAGAAGGAGGCAGGATTTGGATTTGGTTTTAACTTTTAAATTTCAGGACTTAGACTGTGTGCGAGCATGTATGTATGTGTTAAGGGTACCTATGTGTAAAAAGAACAATGAGCATAAATCTGAAATAAATGTTGGGTTTAGTAGGCCATGTGTTTTCTTTTCTTAAAATGAACATCTTGTGCTCCCAGAAGAATAAAAAAGTAAGTAACATTTTCAAATTTTGTATGAATTAAACTAAATAGGCAGGCCATTGGTGATTCATCATAGAGTATAAGACAGTTAAATGTTTTTAAAATGGCACTTATGCTCTTAGGAAAGCAAGACCAAGGAATATTTAGAAGAATTTTCAGGGGCCAGCAAGTGGCATAGTGGTTGGGATGCTGGACTCCCACATGGCTGACTGCAGTTCAAGTCCCAGACCTGGCAACTTGCTTTCTCCCTTTCTCTCTGGTCAAATAAAATAATAATAATAATAAGAAGAATAAGAATTTTCAGCTTCTACAAGTGACTGAAGATGCTCACAAATCTACAGACAATGTGTTTATCATGGAATTTTTAGCTCCTCTTTGCTTTTAGTCATTTTGCTTACCCACTACATGGCTCTACTAGCATCTCTGGACAGGCACAGAGGATGAGCCTGAAAAAAACAAGGATTCACTTTTGCTATTTTATCCACTTGTACAGAGTTTTGAGAGAAGGAAAACTATGGTTATAATTAAGACCTGGGGGATTTTTTTGTGTGTTATTTTCATTTAGCCAAGTTATTATGCTCTGTACTAGCTTAACATGAATAAGGAATTTAACTTTAGCTAGCCAGGAAGGTATTTGCAGTTAGACTACAAAAGGGAACAGATCCTTTAAGATAATTGTATTTCTCAAAAATCTTAGGCTCAGGGTAGCTACCTTATGTAGATTTTACTAGTTGTTGATTGTCCAATGACAACATATTTGTTTTGTATTTATTCTAGAATCTTTTGAAGGTATTTGTTTTTCCGCTAAACAAAGATTCTAAGGCCCAAGATTTGATTTTCTAGGCAGACTCTGTGTTAGTGGTCAATCCTTAATTTTAATTTTTTTCCCTAAAATCTCTGTGTATCTTAACACAGCTCAATTTTTGTTCAGAGCCAGAATATGTTAAAAACTAATGAGATCATTGGATCAATTAAATCGTTATGTTTTTTATGTTTTGAAGTAAGAAAGAAATACATTAGTAATCTACTTTTTAAATAAAATAAGATAAATCAAAATGAGTGCAAAATAAACATTTTTCTTTCAAAATATCTAGTGTTGACAATGCTTTCCTGTGAGAGAGACAATGTTTTTGACTTTGCTGCCACCTCATGGCTAAGATAGTAATTAGAAATGATTTTTTGCTTCAGAAACTTAATAGAAATACAATACCAGAAAGAGACCATGAAGAAGTCATAGTAAATAAGATATTTGCCTTACTCATGTAGTAATTTTTTATTACTTCTTCCTTAACGTCAGTTCAAGAGCCCTTTCTTTGATTCACTGTTTTATCTCAATAATTTTATAACATAATTTTCTCGCCTTTCCATTGTTCTTGTTAGTATTTGAGCTAGATAATTCTACAAAATCAGTACCATGGTAAATATTCCTGCCACGGGAGTCATGCTTCTACCCTAGTTCTGCTGTCCCCTAGCAGCAATAAGGCCATGACAAATTATTTAAACTCCTTATGTCTCAGTTTCTTCAGGTATGAAATACAAATAATATCTACCCGTTCTGTTTTACAGGGTGGATGTAAAAGTTAATTAAGATGATGTATTTAAATACCTCAGCATAGTGTCTGACTTTAGCAACCACTTACTATCAATTATGTCTTATTTTCAATACAATTGGTATAAGAATTTAGTAGATCTGAGGTTTAGTACACATTGGTAAAACAATTTATAGTATACATTTTAAGTTTAATTTATAAAGACAAAGCTTTTTAAGTGGTTAATGTTTAAATTTAACACCATGGAAGTCTTTGATAATGCTAGCCTATGTGCTCTCTATTAAATCATGGTGAGAGCCTTAGATGAAAAGCTTCAGTATCTCAACTGCAATTGAGATGTTAGTTTTCTGAAAGAAATGTGTCCAGCTTTTTCGTAATAGGCCCATTTGTTTCATTTCCTCTGGCAGGCATGCAAATCATTGCCTGGATACGAGTTTTTTTAAATGAAAATAAGTGAAGGGAGAGTTTGTGGGGGGAGCCTGTGGCCACGATCACCCATATGTTCCAGATGTTCTGTTTTGGTCTGTGATCTTGTTCTTTTCCACAGTTACTCTGTCAGCCACACTGAAGCAATTCAAGACTAGCCGGTATTTTCCAACCAAGGTACTCAGACTACATATATTTTTTAATCTAAATAAAGCACGTTTCGGATTCCTATGTATTTTGGGACAAAAGGAAGAGCAGCTGATGTAATAAAAGGAATCACTAAAAGGCTTTTGTGTGAGTGAGTTGCCATGTTAAGGGTGAGGTGAGGTAAAGGTGATGAAGAAAGAGCATTTTGCGACCCAGGTGCCAGGAGTGCACTTGCTCCGCAGGCTTATCTCCTAACTGCAAATGTCAGAGATCGAGTCCTCCCTTCTCACTTCTGCTTTTGGAAATTCAAAGCACAGGCTGCATTGCTGATCGTCACTTTCTTGCCCAGTGAACAGTGGGAATTATTCCAGCCTGACAGAAACCTCCCAGGAACCACTGTTTCTTTCTCTACTTGGGAAAGCCCCTGCGCCTCTCATTGGAACACTATTCTCTTCGTGTTTGAAAGCGTCAGTTCCTCCCCCTAACCCACCACATTTGCATCTGCATATTTGGAAAGGAAAGTAAACAGAGAAACAGTTTAGTTCAATATTTAACACTGCAAAGTAACACCTATACTGTCTGATTCCGCCAAAAAAAAAAAAAAAGGAAAAAAAGAAAAGAAACAAGGAGACAAGCATTTTAGGGATGAGCTATAGCTTATGATCAAAATTTCACTCTAGGAACATGTTTCAAAAATAAGTTCCTTCCAGAGAGGATTTCTTCTTCAATTTGTTTGTTTGTCTTGTTTATTATTATTATTTTTTGGTCACTTCCTCCTTCCCTAAGTTGAAAGTTGCATGTCCTTCCCCAGAAAAGATTAGTTTGAATAATACACGATTATTTTTGGTAAGTGGAAACAATAATATGAAGCATTTTGTGTGTATATGCCATAAAGGCGTTCTAAAAGAAACCAGATCTTGTTGATAATTATATAAGGATATTTGCTCAAAATTGGCTTTATAAGTGAAAAATGGCTTTAAAAACTGGCTTACATGGAATAAATTTAAAATTTTCCCACACTGTTGTACACATTCCCAACTGCCATACTTATATCCTAGAGAAACTAAAACATTATGCTTCAATAAAAATAGATAATTTTATTTTCTGTTGCTTCCGTTTTATCATATAAAATGTTACCTGTGTGAGCAAAAGCCCTCAAATTCAACCCAAATCTGGCCATGTGACCTTATTCTTTGTTCTAAATGTTCACACACTTGGGATCTTAATAAAATTAAATTTTAAATAGATATTGAAAACAGCACTACTGCTATTGTAGCTATTCCATAATGCCTCATTCTGGAAAGGTTGCATGTGTATCCATCTTAATGACAGAAATACATAAATATATATTCAGGTTCTGACAGAACTAATGGTAATATTATAGTATGCATAAAATATAATATTGTGATATTATGCCATAAAGTGTTTATAAAGTGTGACTCTAGATTATGTTCCTGAGTATTTCTCAATATTTATAGCTCCTTCAAGTGACAAGTGTTTTCATTATTTTTAGGTTCGATCCATAGTGAGTGACTTTGCTGTTTTTCTCACAATTCTGTGTATGGTTTTAATTGACTATGCCATTGGGATCCCATCTCCCAAACTCCAAGTACCAAGTGTGTTCAAGGTGAGTTTACCAAGACACTTATTATCTCTCTCTCTGCATCTCTTAGGTCTAATATTCATTTAGATAATGTTACCCTAATAGTTGGGATTTTCATGAAAATACAACACAGATCAATGGAACAGTAAATAAAATGTTTACAGCATGACTAAAATTTTGATCTAATAATAAAGAGAAACAGGAATTATAGAAATAGAAGCTTTAAGATTTCTTTAAAAATATTTTCTGTCAACTATCCCAGTTGGAATATATATATATATATATA